GAGGATTAAGAGAGTCATAATACTTGGATCCACTTCACAGAGGTTGGAAGGACTCCAGATAAGTACAGCTTAAATTTTCCCTACTTGTCTATTCCTAAGAATGGTATTTTTCTCTCTTCTGATCTTGGGACTCCTGTCATTCTCAATTACTAAGACTATGGGCCTAAAAGTTCCAAATAAGTTCATAAACTTTAACTTCTGTTCCTAGTTTAAATTTGTCTCAGCAGATTTCCACTTGGCTGGCAGACATCTCCAATATTCAGCTGCTGACTACACTGCTCTGGATGACTATGAGTTCTGGGCTTGCTAAATGCTGATGTAGACCAGCCCAGCCAGTGTGATTGTTCCCTGTCTCTACAGCTGGGTCAGATAGCCACATACTTCTGACAGAAGCCCCATTGCCCAGCCTTTGACTAGGCTTTCAGCCTTTGACCAGCCTTTCAGCCTTTTTGGGCCCTGACAACAGCACCCCAATGTCATCTCGAAGCAGTTCCAGAAGAGAATACATTGTCCCATGTTCCCTGACCAAAATAGGTTGAAATAGAAACTTCCTGGCAAGGGGGGAGGGGGGGGGCGGGGAATGGCTAACTATAATGCCCATTGACATATCAGGAAAATAGGTTCAGAGTTGTCAATTGATAAATTTATTAACTAAAATGGTTCTGCAATAGGATAGGACACTTGACCGTCTTTGTGCAGAACCAAAGAGGTTTTATATGGCCTTAAAAATTATTATTTGAGATTATAATCTGGTAGTACTCAAAAATCAGAATTATAGGGCCTTAAGAATGGCAATAGATACAAATGTCACTGACCTAGAAAATTTGTTAACTAGTGGTTCTTAGGTCCCAATACCTTTAAACCCCTGGGCAGATAAAACTCATGACTGAGTCCTGTCATTGGTACTTGTGAAGGCGGGAATGGGGGTGGGCGCAAAACAGCTTGACCACACAACTGCCATGATAGGCTTAGAGTCCCAGACACAGCTTCTGTGACAGGCTTACTGGCAGGCAACACCGGGATCCAGGAGAAGCCATGAGCTGACCCCACCCAGTGAGGCCTACATCTAAGGGGAAATACCTGACATTCCAACCATTCCCTATACCCCTAGACAAATGTCAGCCAATCAGGGTCCTGAACCCTGGAAATCCCCTCACCCCAATCTCTGCTCAGGGCTTTCAGCTCTCACAGCTGTGTCAGACAGACAGTCTAAGCTCTGAGCTTGAAATAAAGGTTCTTTGTTTTTATGTATGGGATTCAGTCTCCGTGGTGGTCTTTTGTGATCTAGGCATAACAAACAGAACCAGGAAGAGCTTTCCACGGGCTTCACTGCTGCTACCCTTTTTGCTCCTTTGTGTGTGAAGGAGGGCACAGGGAATACTTGCAAAGCACTCTGTCACCAATGAATACCCCTAGATTTTTAACTTATTTTGATACTAGGTCTGGCTAAGTTGACCAGGCTGAACTTGAACTTGATATTCTCCTGACTCACCTTTCCAAAGAGCTAGGATTGAAGGTCTGCAACACTAGGCAAAATGTCTCTCTACACAAATTCAAATCAAATATTAAAGTATGACATGACTTTTTGTTTTGTTTTGTTTTGTTTTTCAACACTGGGTTTCTCTATGTAATAACTCTGGCTGTCCTGGGACTTGCTTTTTAAACCAAACTGGCCTCTAACTCACAGAGATCTATTTGCCTCTGCATCCTGAGTGCTGGGATTCAAGGCTTGCACCACCACTATGCAGAGATGACATGACACTGGGTTTTTGTTTTTATTTTTTTCAAGATAGGGTTTCTCTGTGTAGTTTTGGTGCCTGTCCTGGATCTTGCTCTGTAGACCAGGCTGGCCTTGAACTCACAGAGATTCACCTGACTCTGCCTCCTGAGTGCTGGGACTAAAGGCGTGTACCACCACCACCCAGCTGACATGATATTTTTGTTGCTGTAATCAATTAAAAGATACATAGTGTTGTGCCCAGATTGAGACCCCCAGAGAGACCACTGAAGATGAGCATGCCAGAATGCAAAAGCAAGGTCCAACAGATCCAGATGCAGTGGAGGCTGGAGAAAGTGCCCGCCCCTCTGCAAGCTCAGGGTTTTTTTTGTTTTGTTTTGTTTGTTTGTTTTGTTTTGTTTTGTTTTGTTTTTTTGGTTTTTCGAGACAGGGTTTCTCTGTGTAGCTTTGTGCCTTTCCTGGAACTCACTTGGTAGCCCAGGCTGGCCTCGAACTCACAAAGATCCACCTGCCTCTGCCTCCCGAGTGCTGGGATTAAAGGTGTGCGCCACCACCGCCTGGCTAACAAGCTCAGTTTTTAAAGGCAAAAACTACAATGTTACATCAGTTAGGGGTGCTAGTATGGGTACAATTCTGATTGGCTCATTTCTAGAAATCATGGCTTAATCTTACTTCTAAGGGGGTGGCTGCCCATCACCATTTCTCATTGGCTGCCCTCAGGTGGGGACATTTCTGTGGTCAGTGACCCTGGAAATCAGGGCTGGAACATTCCTTGGTTAAACAGTCACCACCAAATGAATACCTTGTGACTCTGTACTTTGCACTTTCTAATTTCTGGAATCTGGGTTGACTGGTTCCAGTAACTCAAGGCCTGTTCCAGTAACTCAAGGTTATACCTGAAACAGAGAAATCTTAGGCCTTATTTCTAAAATGGAGGCATTTTGTTCTCATTTTGGTCTCACAATAGATAAATCCTTTATTATTGTTGTTGTTGTTGTTGTTAATTACTATTATTATACAAGGACAGAAAAGTAGAAATCTAAGTATCCTAGGATTTGAGGAGATTGGTTTGTTTCCTTAAACATAGTTTTGTTCCTCAGCCTTGGATGACCTCAGACTTATGATCTTTCTGTCTCACCTCTAGAGTACTGGGATTACACACTGGACCACCATTCCCAGCAGTTTCCAGTTTTCAGAAGAGGTAAGATCTGTAAATCCATAGCAATCGGTGCACCTTAGCATCATAACACTGCAGTCCTGGCCACAAAGGCATTGCCGCCACTGTAAGGGTCACTGCCAACACTCCCATACAAAAGGTGGATTAACAAGAGAAAAGCACAGCTCATTTTTGCACTTGGAGTTTCACATACACAGGAACCTTCCTAGTGAAGACTCAGTGCTCCAGGAAATTCTGTTCATTGTTGTGCTTATTTCAATGTAGGATGATCAACCCCTGAGAAACAAAGGGGAGTGGACTAATAGTGAGGTATTGAAAAGGGACACTCAAGCAAGGTCATCCATTCAGTTTCCTATCAGCCTCTCTCTGTAGGGTTCCTTCCTCTTGGAGATAGAATGGGACCCCTCCAGGGTCAGACAAGGTGTGTCCGGGAATTCCTGTGCAGTGAACTCTTCTGCAGGAAGACAAGGAAGCCTGGCAAGGTTGTATACACCTGTACTCCTAGGCTTCTGGAGGCTGAAGTGAGTCAAGATGATCTGGAGTTCAAGCCTAGCCTGGGCTTCATAGTGAGAATCTGCACCCACTCACACACACCCCAAAAAATAAAGGGTGCTGAGAGAACCTTTCTAGGCTTTAATGGATGCTTTTGGGAAGAGGGTTCTAGTTTCTGTGTCTACCTTGGAAAGACAGGGAGTATGAAAAGGGGAGAGAAGGAGCTTCAGAAGAATCTTGCTTCAGAACCCTTTTCTTCATGTAAAGTATTTAACATGCCAAAGAGCCCTGCTTGGAGGGGAGGGGTGGGGCTAATGTTCTGATCCCCCAACAATAAGTCCTTTTGGCAGACTAAGCTTTCAGGCTTCACGCTAAAAAGAGATAAACTCACTGCTGTTCCTTCAGTTAAAGGAACTTGCTCTGCAATGACTGCTCTCAAAATCACCCACATGTTCTCATGGTAAATGACTGGATGAAAAGGTAAGGTTTAAAGTTTGTATAAGTTCTGAGGGTCTAAGAGAGTGTTTAAGGTGTGTAAATGCAAGTTGTGAAGGTCTAAGGAAGTGATTTAAGGTATATAAAAAATGAGAAATATTTCAGATTTCTTTCCCTCTCTATGCTATTGTTATATTAAGATTTCAAGCCAGGCAGTGGTGGCGCACGCCTTTAATCCCAGCACTTGGGAGGAAGAGGCAGGTGGACCTCTGTGAGTTTGAGGCCAGCCTGGTCTACAGAGTGTGTTGTACCTGTTTCACAAAACCCCCAGAGACCACCAAGGAGCCGGTTTCCGATGTAAGCGCATAAGGGTCCTTTTATTCAGGTTCAACCTGGGCCGCCGCATGGCAGATGGAAGGAAAAGTGGCCACAGCCATGAGCCCAGGTGCAGAGGGTTTTTATAGGGAAAAACTACAAGCTGGGAATTGGCAACTTGGGATTGGGTAGAAGGGGCAAGGTGATTTTTTTTGAAACTATTGGTCTAGGCTTTTGGTGGGGAACCACAACCTGCTGAACAGAATTATCTGGACTGCTCGGCAGGATTATCTAGATATCTCCAAGGGCCTTGTTAAGGATCTTGTTAAGCTTTCCTTTCCTATATAAACAGCAGACAGGATGTCTGCAGGAGTATCTGGATCCTGTTAGACTTTCCTGTATAAACTGCAGACAGGATGTCTACAGGAAGATACTGTTCTGTATCTGTTCAAGTTATCATGGCATATTCCTGATCCTGTAAAGTTAAGTCTAGGCCTTCACAAGTGAGTTCCAGAACAGCCAGGACACAGAGAAACCCTGTCTTGGGGGTAAAAAAAAAAAAAAAAATTAAAGTATGCTTCAGGGAGTCGATTTAGATATACCCTTCACAGGTCAGACAGATCCTGAAATAAGTACTGCTGTCAGTCAATAGCCTAAGCTTCTCTGCCTATTGCCTATTTTTAAGGGTGGGATCTATCTCTTTCCCCTGGTCTTGAGACTCTCACACCCACCTACTGGGACCATGAGCCTAGACGTTTCAAGGATACACCCAAGATAAAGACTTTCCCTGAGTTCCCTAACTCGGCCTTCTGTCCCTAGTCTCTATCTGCTCCAGCAGGTTCAGGTTTCCAGTCAACTGCAGACTGCTCAAACATGTCAGCCCTAGAGGCTTCTGGCTGAATTACCCAACCAGACTGAGCCTCTGACTGCCCCAAAGTAGCCCTCACTTTCCCAGCCTCAGGTGGTCTGGCAGATGTCCCCAGTCTGTACTCCTTTCTCCCTTCCCACCCTTTGACCATCATTCCAGCCTTCCTGTGTCACACGTACACGCACACGCACACACACACGCACACGTATGCAGACGCACACACACGCACACGCACGCACACGCGCACACCTCAATTTCGGCAGGAAGTAGTTACAGGAGAGATTATGTCACTCTTTATCAACAAAAAGGCTGGAAGGTTAGCTCTCACTCAGTAGCTGCAGTTCCTTCCAGCACTTCCTACCCCACACGCTACCCCAAACCTCTCTCTCAGGGATAAGGCTTCTACTTCCCTTCCCCCAGCCTGATCCTGGCTCATGGCTGGCTCTGCTCCTGGATCTCTCTTGGTTCCCTTGTCTCCATCTCCTCTCTCACCCCCGAGCACATGACCTGATCTAGTCTCCTGGCCATGCTCAGTCTAGGCCCTCCCAGATGCCTCGGGCTGTCTTCTCCCTCACATCTACAATGAACCTTCTCCTCAGCCATACCTGGGAGCAGCCATGTCCTCACTGTTTTCACCCAGTAGCCTTCCTCGTCCCTCCCCTGAGACGCCTCCTTGCCTCTGATATTTACCTGCCTCTGCTTTCATGTCATGGTTTGTTTTTATTTTCTTTTTTAAGATTCCACATGAGAGAAAACTATGTGTCACTTGTCTTACAGCTTATCTTACTTGACATGGTGATTTCCACTTCCGTCCATTCTCCTGGAAAGGATACAGTTTCACTCCTCTTTAGGGTAGAATACCCCACTAGGTATACACACTGCGTTTTCTTTTTCCATTCATCTGCTGACAGACACCAAGGCTGGTTCTATATCTTAGCTGTTGAGAACAGTGCTGTAATAAAAACTGGATGCTCGTGTAATTCTGTGGTACACTGACTCTGATTCCTTTAGGAAAATACTCAGAAAGGGCAGAGCTAGATCATGTGGTGGATCTATTTTTAGTTTATTGAAGAACCTCCATACTGATTTCCATAGTGACTAGACTAATTTACATTCCCACTAACAGTTGAATAAGGCATCTTTTCTCTCATTTGTTATTTGGGGGAGGAGGTTGTTACTTGTTATAGCTTTGTTTTGTTTTGTTGAGACAGGGTTTCTCTGTGTAGCCCTGGCTGTCCTGGAACTCACTCTGTAGATCAAGCTGGCCTCAAACTCAGATCCACCTGCCTCTGCCTATGGAGTGCAGAGATTAGAGGCCTGTGCTGCCATAGCCAGCCTTAATTGTTGTTTGTATGATTTGGAGTTTTCTATTTTGTTTTGTTTGTTTGAGACATAATCTCACTGTGTAGTCCAGACTGACCTCAGAGTCAAGATTTTCCTATGTCAGCCTCTGGAGTACTTGCACATGCATGCATGTGCCACCTCACACAGCAATGTGTGTGTGTGTGTGTGTGTGTGTGTGTGTGTGTGTGTGTGTGTGTACATAAGATCGTATGCTCTTAACCACTGAGCTATCTCTCCAATGCCAATTAAAACAGTTTTTGATGCTTATGATTTTTCTAGACAGGAGATATTCTCTTCTGGCCTCTTTGGGCCCCTGAAACTTGTGACATACATACACACATGTAGACACCCAGAGGAGAGAGAGAGAGAGGGACAAAGACAGAGACAGATAAATGAATAAAAAAAATCATTTTAAGAAAGAAAAGAGCTGAATGGTGGTGGCACACACCTTTAATCCCAGCATTTGGGAAGCAGAGGCAGGCAGATCTCTCTGAGTTCGAGGCCAGCCTGGTCTACAGAGTAAGTTCCAGGACAGGCAGGGTTACACAGAGAAACCCTGTCCCAAAAAAAGAAGACAAAAACAAAAAAAAAGAAAGAAAGAAAGAAAGAAAGAAAGAAAGAAAGAAAGAAAGAAAGAAAGAAAGAAAGAAAGAAAGAAAGAAAGGAAAAAGCAACGACTTAGGTAGTCACTGTTTGAACCAGATCTGGCACCATCTAGCCCACCTTACTAATCCTGGGATGGTGTCCCTCTTTTTGTGAAGAAGGAAAAAGGAAAATTTGTTTTAAACTTGCTCTCTCATGACGACTTTTTTCTTTTAATTTATTTTCAAGACAAGGTTTCTCTGTGTAGTTTTGGTGCCTGTCCTGGATCTCACTTTGTAGACCA